GAGCTGGTGCGCGAGCGGCGGCTGCTGCTTCTGCCGCCGCTGCTGCTGCAGCTGCTGCTGCGGCTGCTGTTGCCGCTGCTGCTGCTGCTGCTGCTGCTGCAGGGGCCTCTCTGTGTGCTCCCCAGGGGCACCCTGCTGGTGGCTTAGCTGCTGCTGCACGGGTCGGTAGACCTGCCACTGCAGCTGCTGCTGCTGCTGCTGCTGCTGCTGCCGTCGTTGCGAGTGCGTGGATTGCTGCTGCAGCTGCGGCCTGCGCTGCTGCCGCTGCTGCCGCTGCTGCTGCTGCCGCTGCTGCCGCTGCTGCTGCGGCTGCGCAGTCTCGTCTTCTGAGGCTTGAGAATAAGTGGAGAGTGAAGAGCCGCAGACATCTGTCGATCTGCTGCTGCTGCCGCAGCTGTTGTCCGTTGCGGCGGCGCTGCAGCTGCTGTCTGCTGCTGCGCTGCTGCAGCTCTTATCTGCTGCTGCTGCTGCAGCCGCAGGAGCTGCTGCTGCTGCAGCTGCAGCGGCTGCGGTGGCCGCCGCCTCTGCGCAGCAGCTTTCTCCCGTCTCCTGCTGCAGCAGCTCCAGCAACCGAGTCGTTGCCCGGCAGCGCCGCAGCCCGTACTTCCCACCTGTTTGCTGCTGCTGCTGCAGCAGCAGCTGCTGCTGCTGCTGCTGCAGCTGCTGCGCTGCAGCAGCTCCCTCCTCCCGCTGCGCAGGGGCCTCCGTCTCCCGCGACGGGCCCCCCACGGCTGCGGGGCCGAGCGAGGCCCCGCGGCTGCCAGGGGGCCCCCTGGGGGGCCCCCCTGGGGGCCCCCCTGGGGGCCCTTGAGGGGCCCCTTGAGGGGCCCCCTGGGGGGCCCCCGGGGGGCCCCCGCACGGCCTTGCCCTGGCAAAAAGGGCCATAAGAGAGCCCCCCTGCAGCGCCTCTGCCGAGGCTGTCCGCGCCTGCCGCAGCCGCTGCTGCTGCTGCTGCAGCAGCTGCTGCTGCTGCTGCTGCTGGGGGGCCCCCGGCTGCAGGCCCTGCTTGCAATGCAGGGGGCCCCCCAGGGAGGGGGGGTTTGATAAGGAAAGCATCAAATGGGGGGCGCAGCCGTTGGCCGCTGGGGTGTACGTACACTGTGAGTTACGCACTGCAAAGGGGCCTTCTCCCGCTTCGCTGCAGGCAGCCCGCTGCTGCTGCTGCTGCTGCTGCTGCTGCTGTTGCTGCTGCTGCTGGTGAGCTTCTGGCGATGCGCGGCGTCAGTGCCCCGGGCTGAGAAAACGGGCGGGCGGGAAAGCAAAGCGGGCGAGCGGCGCTGCTGCAGCTGCTGCAGCTGCTGCAGCGGTGCTGCAGCGCCAGCAGCAAAAGCCACGGGAGCTGCTGCGGCTGTTCCCCCGCGCAGCAGCAAAGAGACACGCGGCGGCCCCGCCCCACTGCCGGGAGCTTCTGGAGACAGGCGGAAATAAAAGGAATTAAATTAGAGAAGGAGACGCGGCGTGGAGAAAAAGGCGCGGGGGAGGCGCAGCAGCAGCGGCAGCAGCAGCAGCAGCGAGGACAGAGGCAGCAGACCCAACTTAGGACACATAATTAAATTAGACCAGCCCTTGCTGCTGCTGCTCTGCTTTGCAGCTACAAAGCGAAGCAAAAAACAGAAAAATCGAACGGAAAGGTGCTGCTGCTCTCCGCTCCGCCCCTGCAGCAGCAGCAGCAGCAGCAGCAGCTACAGCAGCAGCCTGCTTTCTGGGGGCGTCACGCTGCCTCGACGGCGCAGCACCGCAAGCAAAGCACCGCTAAAATTAAGATGGATTTGCAAATATAATTCGAAAAGACTTTTGCAAAAAGAAAGTGTTAAGCAGCAGTCGGGATAGGGCGCCTCCAGGCAGCAGCAGCCCCAGCAGACGCGCGCTTGTGAACGCAGTGCAGCAGCAGCAGCGGCGGCAGCAGCAGCAGCAGCAGCACACGCCGACTGCCGCGCCGCTCAGCACTTCCCCAAGCGCTCCAGCACACCTTCTTTAGATTTTAATTTCAAAAATACTTTAATGGATTATATTCAACTCAATATTCTTCGCGCAGCCACGGCAAGTACGCGGGCGGTCCGCCGCCGCCGCTGCAGCAGCAGCAGCAGCAGCAGCGGCGGCAGCAGCGGCGAAGTGAGCGTTGCGCGCCATTTGCTTCTGGCCGCAGCTCCTGCGCTCTGCAGCTTTGCTGCTGCTGTGCTGCTGCTGCAGTTGTTCCCCAAAGCCCGTAAAATAGTTAATTAACTTAATTAAAATGCAATTTTCGCCATTAATCCTCACTCCCGCCAGCAGCTTTGTTTAATGTCTTTGCATTCATTTGCGTCTTTAAACTCCACTAGAGAAAAGCCAGAGGGAGAGCAGCAGCACCACTTCGAGTGTCTGCGCAGACACCTGAATAACGCAGCAGCCTGCATGCATGCGGTGTCCATTTGGGGCTTTCAATGGGCAGCAGCAAATAGCAGCAAATGGTGCTGCATGTGCAGCAGCACAGCAGCACAGCAGCGCAGCAGCACAGCAGCGCAGCAGGTTCATTGCTTCGGGGTATCTGCTAGCTGCAGCTAGCTGAGGGTGCAGTTGCTGCTGCTGCAGCTAGCTGAGGGTGCAGTTGCTGCTGCTGCAGCTAGCCGTGAGGCTCCCCACAGTCAGCCACTGGTACAGCTGCGGCGGCAGCTGGCTAACTGCAGCAGCAGCGAGCTAGCAGCAGGGGCAGCTAGCTAGCTGCTGCTGCAGTTAGCTAGACCCCTTGCAGCTAGCCAGAGGTTGAGCTGCTGCTAGCCCCACACCTGGCTAGCTGTAGCGAGCCACGCACTGATCCAAGCCTAGCCAGCAGTACTAGCTAGCTACAGCTAGCCTGCTGCAGCTAGCTAGCTACAGCTAGCTACAGTTTTCTACAGCTAGCTGCGGCTAGCTGCAGCTAGCTACAGCTAGCTAGCTGCAGTTTGCTGCATCTCTCAAGCAGCCCTCGTCTGGCCTGTGGCCAGCCCGCGCCTTGTAAGTCAGCTGGAGAAGGACAGCAGCAACTGACTTCAGCAGCACTGTCTGCTGCTGCTGCTGCTGCTGCTGTTTCTGCTGCTGCTGCTGCTGCTGTTTCTGCTGCTGCTGCTGCAGCGCCTGCTTAGGGCAGCTGCTTTTGGGGTGTACATACACGTGCTGAAGTCCACACAGAGCAGCAGCAAGGGCTGCAGCGCTGCAGCAAATAAGTTGAATAAAGCCTTTATTTGGGATATATAATTGCAGTTTAATTTACATTTTTTAATTATTTTAAAATATAAATCTGATGAAGAGGAAGCAAACAGCAAAAAGACAAAAGACAGCTCTGCTGCCGAAGCAGCCCCAGAGAAGCAAAGTGGAAAAAATGTGAGAACAGCAAATAAACGAAAAAAATAAATCAAAAAAATAAAGAAGAGAAAATAAGGTTAAAGATAAATAAAAAAGAGAAAGGAGGCAGCAAATAAGCAGGCAAATAAATGGAAAAAGAGAAAAAGGAAAAAGAAAGAGTGAAGAATAGACAACAAACCGGCGGTGAAGGGACGGAAAAACGAAATCAAATTGCCTTTAAATTATACTAGTAATTGTGTAGTTATATTAATACTATTATATAGTCCATAAAAGTAACAAGACATATGTAGTTTTATATACTTATACATATCTATATATATTACATGTATCCTCTAATAAATGCATATACTATGTAATATTGTCTATGTATAATTACATGTATCTTTTAATAAATTTATGTACTCTGTAATATATAGTATTACATGCAGATATATATGTATATATATGTATGTATATATGTATGTATATATATACATGTGCATATAAATATATATTATATTGTGTGCATCTACATATGTATGACCGCAAGTATATTGCATAATATATAAACATTTGATAACTAATATGTGCAGATCTACACCACATAACGCGTAACGTGTATTACATGCAATATAGACATATATATATACATATATATGTGTATTTATATACATATACATATATATGTATATGTGTATGTGTATTTATATATATTTTTAATATATATATAGATATATATATATTTACGAGATATAAGTAAATATAGCTCCTATATGCATGTACATATATTTATGAGATATAAGTAAATATACCCCATAAATATACATACATATATATATGAATATATTTAGTAGATACAAGGAACAAGTTACCAATATATAGCTTTTGCTTGATGTGCATGCAAATGAGTAAAATAAAAAAGTGTCTAAGGAAAAGAGTGATGAAAAAAGGACCCAAATGATTCCCAAAAGAAAAGGCGCAGGTGTACATACACCCCAAAAAAAAATGTAGCTTTGAAAGCAGCAAAAGAGAAGGAAAAAAGACACAAAGAAGCAGCAAAAGAGGCAGCAGCGCAGCAAAAGACCTCGAAGCAGAACAGTTGCAGCAAGGTGTATAAA